CTCGAGCCTCCCAAGCGAGCAGCGAATCGCCATTCGTGAGAAGCTGGTTGTCTGTCTGACCAGTGAGACTGTCACCGATGTACGCAAGAAGATTGGAGACACACTGGCTGAGGTGGCTCGGCAATACACCGATAATGGTATGCGATTCGAAGTACCCTTGACGACATGAGGACTCTTGGTTCTGACAATTTCACCTGTGGTTTTTAGACGAACAGTGGCCTGAACTCCTCGGCGTTCTTTTCCAAGCAAGCCAAAGCCCTGACTCGGGCCTTCGGGAAACCGCATACCGTGTGTTTACGACCACCCCCGGTATCATTGAGAAGCAGCACGAAGACGCTGTCGTGGAAGTCTTTACCAAGGGTTTCAAGGATGATAACATTTCCGTATGTCGGCGTCTGACTATACCCTTCGAGCTCAATTTTGACCTTTCTATTAGGTGCGGATTTCCGCTATGGAAGCCTTCGCTTCGTTATTCCGGTCGATCTCCAAAAAGTCCCAGCCCAAATTCTTCGGCCTCATGCCAGATCTTCTCAACATCCTTCCTCCCCTCAAGGAGTCCTCTGAGAGCGAGGAGCTGTCCTCAGCCCTGCTCGCCCTGGTTGAATTGGCTGAGATCAGCCCGAAAATGTTCAAGCCTATGTTCAACAACTTGGTTAAGTTCAGCATTAGTGTCGTTGGCGACAAGGAGCTCAGTGATCAGGTGCGCCAGAACGCTCTTGAGTTGATGGCTACCTTTGCCGATTATGCCCCGAATATGTGCAAGAAGGAGCCGGAGTTCGCACAGGAAATGGTCACACAATGTCTGAGCCTGATGACTGATGTCGGTGCGGATGACGACGATGCGGAGGAATGGAACGCGTCGGAGGATGTAAGTTTGCAGTTCTCTCGCTATAATTGACATGCCACTGACTAGTAACAGCTCGAGCCTGAAGAGAACGACCTCAACCACATCGCCGGTGAGCAGTGCATGGATCGTCTCGCCAACAAGCTGGGTGGACAGGCCATCCTCCAGCCCGCATTCTCTTGGATTCCTCGCATGATGTCGTCTACCAACTGGCGCGACCGCCATGCTGCCTTGATGGCCATTTCCGCCATCTCTGAAGGTTGTCGCGACCTGATGGTCGGTGAGCTGGACCAAGTTCTAGCCCTTGTTGTTCCTGCCCTCCAAGACCCCCACCCCCGAGTCCGCTATGCAGGCTGCAATGCCCTTGGTCAAATGAGTACCGACTTTGCCGGTACCATGCAAGAGAAGTATCACGAGATTGTCCTCACTAACATCATTCCCGTTCTCGCCTCTACCGAGCCGCGTGTGCAGTCCCACGCTGCCGCCGCTCTCGTCAACTTCTGCGAGGAGGCCGAGCGCAGCACGTTGGAGCCATACCTCGGAAACCTTCTCAGCCATCTCCTGGAACTGTTGCGCAGCCCTAAGCGTTATCTGCAGGAGCAAGCGCTGTCCACTATTGCTACTATTGCCGATTCCGCCGAGGCCGCCTTCGATCAGTATTATACTACTCTGATGCCTCTTTTGCTCAATGTCCTCAAGGAGGAACAGGGCAAGGAGTACCGCCTTCTTCGTGCCAAGGCCATGGAGTGTGCTACTCTGATCGCCCTGGCCGTTGGCAAGGAAAAGATGGGTCAAGATGCCCTGAACCTTGTTCAGATTCTCGGCCACATTCAACAAAACATTGTCGACGCCGACGACCCACAGTCACAGTACCTCCTCCACTGCTGGGGCCGCATGTGCCGCGTCTTGGGCCAAGACTTCGTGCCTTATCTCCCCGGTGTTATGCCGCCTCTTCTAACCGTGGCTGCGGCCAAGGCCGATATTCAGCTGCTGGATGATGAGGATCAAATCGAACAGGTTGAGCAGGATGAGGGCTGGGAGCTGGTTCCGCTCAAGGGCAAGATTATCGGTATCAAGACGAGTGCTCTTGAAGACAAGAATACGGCTATCGAATTGATCACAATTTACGCCCAAATTCTCGAGCAGAACTTCGAGCCCTACGTCCTGGAGACCATGGAGAAGATTGCGGTCCCTGGCCTTGCCTTTTTCTTCCACGACCCCGTTCGCGTGTCAGCTGCCAAGCTAATCCCCCAGCTGCTGAACTCCTACAAGAAGGCACACGGTGGCCAGTCGCCGGGCTTCGCCGAAATGTGGAACAAGGTTGCAGAGAAGATCATTGAGGTTCTTAGCGCTGAGCCGACAGTTGACACCCTGGCTGAGATGTACCAGTGCTTCTACGAGTCAGTAGAGGTGGTTGGCAGAAACTCCCTCACCCCCCAGCACTTGCAGGCGTTCATTGAATCAGCGAAGTCGACCCTTGAGGACTACCAGATGCGCGTGAAGCAACGTTTGGAGGAGCAGGCCGAGCTCGAGGATGGTGACGAGGAGAACCTGGACTTCGAGTACGCCGTGGAGGACGATCAAAACCTATTGAGCGATATGAACAAGGCATTCCACACCATCTTTAAGAACCAGGGCAACTCGTTCCTGCCAACGTGGCAGCAATTGATTCCATTCTACGACGCTTTTATCACAAGCCAAGACCCGACACAACGGCAGTGGGCACTTTGCATCATGGACGACGTGCTTGAATTCTGTGGCGAAGAGTCGTGGGCATTTAAGGACCATATCATGCAGCCCTTGGCTTCCGGTCTGCGAGACGAGAACGCCGCCAACCGTCAGGCAGCGGCGTACGGAGTGGGCGTGGCCGCACAGAAGGGTGGTGCCGCCTGGAGCGACTTTGTGGCAGCCAGCCTCCCCAGCTTGTTCCAGGTTACACAGCATGCGCAATCCCGCACAGAGGAGAATGTGTTCGCGACCGAGAATGCATCTGCCAGTATTGCCAAGATCCTGCACTACAACCCATCCAAGGTCCAGGCGCCCCAGGATGTCGTGACCAACTGGATCGAGACTTTGCCCATTACCTATGACGAGGAGGCTGCTCCCTATGCCTATTCCTTTATTGCACAGTTGATTGACCAGTAGGTTTTCTTGATTCAACAAACCCCTCATATTGATGCTAATATTTCATTACCAGGCAAAACCCGGCCGTCTTTGCCAAGGCTGACCGTGTCTTCGGTTTCATCGTGCAGGCACTCGAGGCGGCTACCCTGCAGGGCCAGACCGCGGCCCGGGTGGCCACATCCGCCAAGCAGCTGGTGGCAGTGACCGGTGCAAATGCAGACCAGATTCTGGCTTCTGTGGACCCGGCCAGCCAGGAGAGAGTGCGCAAGTTCTTCCAATAAAGCTCAGACATTTTTTTGTTTTATATCCGGCAGAGCTTTTTCCCCTTTTTTATTATTTCCCAAATCATTCCCCTCGGTCATGTGAAATCTGAAGTTACCTGAACCCCCGACACGTTTCTTTAATTCTTAGCTCCTACGTACGAATGCCATGAGCCTTAGACGTCGGATTCCATAGTGTGCGCGATGTTCATGTAGACCAAATGTCGGTGTTTGCTATGTGGGCTAACTAGTATATGTTAAATCAAAATTAAGGCAAGCTATCTACAACTTCGATACCCTCTGGATCTCATTAGCAATCACCTCCTCCAACCCCATCACTTTCGGCTCCCCAATCAGTCCGTTAGCCCGCTCTGAATACAGCGTCCCGCCTTCACCCCAGATCCGACGCAAAGTCAACACAGTAGCTGCCGGATTTCCAGCGTCCCACGCCGCAGTTTCCGCCTCGCGCAACTTGGCCAGCGATGTGCGAGACACATTCCACGGCCGACCACCAAGCTGGCGCTCAAATTCCGCCTGAATCTGGTCGGGGCTCGTAGTAAACGAATTAACACACAATGCAGCGTTGCGCGTCTCAGCCGTAGCATGAAGCAGAGTGTTCAAGACGAGAGTTCCAACACTAGCGGAATAGTCAGCCAAAATTCCGTCCATCCCAACGAGACAAACACCAAAGACAAAAAGGAAAAGGACTCTTTACTCTTTCATCGTCGTCAAACTAACTTCTCCTTTCCCCTCCTCACCCAACAAAACTGCCCTCCGGCCTTTAACATCCCACCCACCAGCCTCCTCCATTCCAGGCACGAGATTCAGATACATCTCCGCAAATGGGCCAGTGACTACATACGAATAGGCGAGATCGACACGCGAGATCTCATCTTCGAGGTAGGCGCGCACCTTCAGCTTCAACTGGTGCGGCTTCTCGTTCGCTGAAGCCGGCCCGTACTTGATATCCGTGCCGTACTCGGAGGGCAGGAACCATTTCACGGTGGGGCTGGCGGCTGCGAGTCTAATGAGGGGAATCTGTTGGGCCAGGGCATTGCGGCCCAGGGCTGAAATCACGGTGTCGATTCCTGTTTGACTTAGTGGTTAGTCTATACTTTCGTGGTTTAAAAAGGGTCATATTTGAGGAAGGTCATTGTGTCATTATGTCACGGTATGAAGGGCTTTCTACCTTCGTATGCTGCTTTCACGACATTCTCATCTTCGACATTACCCACAATCACTTCTACGCCTTGCTCTTTCAGCTTATTCAGCTGCGAGTCTTTGGTTTCGGCTGTGTGCGGGGAAGTGAAGATGGCGACGCGGCCGAATTGGGAGCGCTCGGTCAGGATGGCGTCCAGGATGAATGAGCCAATGGCGCCTGTTGCGCCGAATAAGAGAATGTTCTTGGCGAGAGACATGGTTGTATAGCTTTGCTGTGAGAAGTGAAGAAGTTGTCGACGGTGCAGCTGCAGCCCTAGAGACGGCACGAGCCTAATATATATCGTGAAATGTGGGGTGTGGGGGGTCCTGCTTATCAATCAATTGCGAGAGGCTCTCAAGGTCTATATTCAATCAGCATTCTGGTTGAGATCTGTAGAATTAAGGACATCTTGGACATTGTATTTGGAGTTGGAAGAACTCAGGTAGTCGGGATTCAATGTTTCTACATGTCTAGTGTAGATATATGGCTTGTTACGACCGCCAAAACTAATTGGGAACTGGAAATTAGAGACTTGAACAAGAATTGAATGAGTCTAGGACATGTTAATTATTTATGTGACAACAACCTTGTGAGAGCCACCGGTAACTTCAACAGTTGCAGCACCACCAACATAAGCCACTCCTCTCGTCAACTGGTCACCATCAATAGTAATTGAAGGCTTCTTCGACGCGGTGACATAGGGCAAAGTGACACTCCCATCAGTACCCTTTGGCACAGAGAAACTCAACACATATCCACTCGAATTCAAAATCCAAGACGCTTGAAACTTCCCAAGAGAGGTGACAAAGCCAGCCTCGGCAAATTCCAGATCTCCAAATTGTGGCGCAATTTTCCATGTCAATCCTAGCGGCGAGACCACAGAAAGACCGACGACATACTCTGTCAATGCAGAGGTCGGACCGGAGGACCAGCCATGTGCATGTGAGACATAAGATGGATCGTAGCCATACCCGCGGTCCATCCGATACCCAAAAGTCCCGTTCTGTAGATAGCCCTCAATCACAGTGCTCTCTGTACCGTTTGGGTTGTTGATGTACCAACCCCAGCTGCGACGAATGAGATCCAGTGCGCGCGTAGGTTCGCGGGCAATGAAGTGACTTTGAATCTCGAAAGAGGATATAAATGAAGCAATGTTCTCTGACAATTCAGGAGCTACGGCCCCTATGGGGGTCCAATTCTTCAGCAGCTTTTCGGAAATACTGGCTGTGCGCTCTTCATTTACAACACCAAACATAATCGCCATGCTGTTGGCATCTTGTGGATGCAGAGAGGTATTGGTTGCATTGTCCTTAAATGCGCCGTAAGACTCGTCCCAGCAATAGGTGCTAATTGCCTTTTTGAGATTGGCGGCCTGGGAGCTCCATATGCTTGATAGATTGGTTGAGTCTTCAGCCCACAAAGCGAGAGATGCCCCTGTCTGTAGCGTATGGTAGAGACTAGAATGTGTTAGTTAGCTAGGAAGCCTTCTCCATGAGGGATCCACAACATACATCATCTGCGCTTCTGAGTTATTATAGCCTTGCTGCCATCTCGCCCAGTCTCGCATGCCTGTTACATTCAAAAGCCCGCTGGGGTAAGTCACCTTTCCATATATATATTCCATGGCGTGCTTATAACTGGCCCAATTCTCCAACAGGAAGTCTGTGTCATTGGTATAAAGCACATATTTATAGGTGCCAATCATAGACCACATGTGATATGTGTCTGAGTCCTTCTGACTCAATGGAGGCCCAGACTCATCAAATGCACCTGTTGTCTTGTTCTACCCCAAAACTGTCAGATCTATACCGAAATAGAACAAACAACAGAACTCACCTGGGTGTTGTACATAATCTGCAGAGCGTTCTTTACACTTTCCAGGTCTCCCAGACTCACAAAAGCGGAAGGAACGGCAATTCCCATATCACCGGGCCAAACCGCACGATCTCGCTTTGCACCATCAACAATAATAGTGTCTCCCGGCCCGAGAGTCCCGGTGTTTACCCACCCAGATGTGACACCCTTGGTAACACGGCCTGTGTTCACAGGGACCTCATTCGTCTGCAGGGTATATGCACCGCTATACCAGATGCGATTCAAAAGTTCATCACTGCAGTGAAAGTACCCCTGGTAAGCTCTGAGATTCGACCAAGTGGGCTTAAACGCAAGCTCTAAGGTCAGATCGTCAATCTGAACACTGGTTGAATCATCTGTGAGCAAGAAGACCGTCAAGTACCGGAATCCGCCACGCAGGTATTTGTCTGGCATGACATAAGTGCCCGTTCCAGTTGTTGAAATATTCGCATACAAAGCGCCGTCATGATATAGAGCGCTTGACGAGTCCGACCACTCTCCAATCCAATTTTTGGCTTCTGTGAACGCCAGCCCTAGAGCTCCGGTGCCGGTGGAGGTGTAGTCTAGATGGACGATACCGCCAACTTCAATACCGAAGTCAAACACGATAATTGACCCGTTTCCGTGTAATGTTGTTTTATATGGATGCGAGGGGTCTGTAACAGCGTTCGTTTTCAATTCTGGTAAGGTTGAGGCTGGTCGTACTGTTCGCGATGCCGGTGCGTATATGTTCTTCTCCCATGGCCCGCTAAATGCAGTGTCTGTAGGTCCAGAGCAAGTAGTTTCACGCCAGCAAGTGTCTGCACTAGATAGCGAGAAGAGAGACCAAAGAATCAATACCACACTAGGCCAGTATAGTTGTGCCATTGTTGGTTGAGTGAAGAAAGGGATATCCGTATACCGTAGCAAGGCACCAAAGAAGTGTAAAATATAGAAGATGGCGAAGATGATAAGGTCAAGTATCGCAATAGTAGAATTTGGGAAGCTTCATCGCTGCATATTGGCGATTGGTGGAAGTTCCAGGGCAAATGATGTTGATGCTTGCAGGATTCTGGCAAGGCTCGGCACTATAACCACTCAGAAGGCTTTGAAATTGAGGGTTCTGCTGCATGTCCCACTCAACCTAGTTTTTTCCCCGCAGTCGATTTTCTTCGCAATGTCATGTTGTGGTGTTCGCTCGGTGGTCTTTACACCGAGCGCAACATGGGAAATTGAAGCAAGTGCACGGTTCGATAGCCAGATGGTATAATATATTGTTCTTTATTCGAGAAATCCAATCATTGAGTCGAGCTAACCATGTGATCCTTCGGCATTCCTTCCCCGGCCCTACCCATAGGCTGGCGCTGTCAACTGTTGTATATATAAATGAAGAATGCAGCTCAAGCTTCTGCACTGTAAAAGCCAATTGGGAAGAAAATATGACATTTCAAACATTATCAATATTATTCTGAGCTAATGAATTAGATTCTGAAGACAATCTTGGAATTTATGCTTAAGCATGAACCGAACTATAGCCCCGCAGCCCCACCTGGGCAGTTTCCTGTACGACGTTCCCAAGGTTAATTGTTATCTTGTTTCGACCTCATTCCCAACTCCTCCTTGATTGTCTATTAGACTATAATGTCAGAGGAAACAGTTCGACCTGCCTTTGAAGGCCGTGAGCGCCCACTTCTTTCCTATGGCATCGCCTTTCCCGCAGCCACAGCACACCATCTCGATGGCACATTTCGGGCTTCCCGTGTATATGTGATCTGCTCAGGGTCATTGTCACGAAACACCAATGTAATGGACCAGCTAGAGACCGCTCTAGGGCCAGACAGACTGGTTGGTCATTGGATCGGTATGCGGAGCCACACTTTGTGGTCAGAGGTGCTGCAGATTGCCGAAGAGGTTCAAACTGTGCATGCTGATCTGCTCTTGACCGTCGGAGCTGGCAGCTTGACCGATGGTGCGAAGATCATTGCATTAGTCGGTATACCCTTTTCTTTGATACTTCCATTCATTATTCATGTTTTGTTTACATTCGTCTTGCCTCTTTATTCGTCCCTGGCAGACCATATATATTGATTTACCCCCGGCCTAACATCCCTCCCAGGCCCTCGCAAACCGAGTCAGCACACCAGAAGAGCTCGAAACCCTTGCAGAAGGCCCCAAAAAGCGAAAATATATCGAAGCACCAACTCTCCCAATCATTTCCGTGCCAACTTCCCTTTCCGCCGGCGAATACTCCAACTTTGCAGGCGGCACGGAAGACCACTCAAAGCGCAAATACAGCTTCCAGCCACCGATTCGTGGACCGGAGCTGGTTATTCTTGATCCGTGGCTCGCGAAAACGACCCCCGATTCAATCTGGCTCAGTACAGGTGTGCGCGCAATGGACCATTGCGTCGAAAGTCTGTGTGCGATCGCAGGTACGACCACTAAATCTGACAAACTAGCTCTAAATGCACTGGGGTTGTTGGTACCTGGTCTCTTGCGCTGTAAGAAGGATCGATCAGACCGTGATGCGCACCTACAGTGCCAACTCGGATCAGTGGATGCTATGGCGGCCTGTACTAGCGGGTCAATTGAATTGGGTGCTAGCCATGGGATTGGACATCAGGTATGCGAATGTTTTCCTTATTGACCTTCTAAGGAATTCATAGTACATCAATGGGCCCGACTAACAGTCCTCCAGCTTGGTCCACTGGGTGTAGGCCACGGTGAAACTAGTTGTATCTTGCTCCCCGCTGTGTGTAAGTTCAATGCGAAGTACAACGCCAACCGCGAAAAACAAGCAAGTGTGCGCCAATTTTTGATTCAAGATCCGGTCGTGTCAGATGTGCTGCGTGCCCGCTCTGTCAACGTGGAAGCCTCCGACTTGGGCGATATTTTGGATGCTATTATCCGCGAATTGGGAATGCCTCGGTCCTTGAGCGATGTCCAAGTAGGGCGGGACCAGTTGGATGGGCTGGCGGAGAATAGCCTACATGACCGTTGGTGCAAGACAAACCCAGTGCCACTGAAGGAGAAGTCTCAGGTATTGGAGATTCTGGAGATGGTAGTTTGAACAAAGGCATGAAATAAACATATGGTTTAAGTCTTACGCTTCCATAGTCGGACCATTTCAATAATCACCAATTCCCCAGCTCTCAGATAATAACCTCAGTGCAGCTTCTCTCACCAAAGCCGTGTTCCCAGGATTTTCTGTGTAAGGATAATTCCCAATAAAGCAGCTTCATAGTTAGCATCATACGTGTACAAGCACTATTTACAGTGGGACTTCCGAAATATTGGGCTAAGCCTTTGTACCCAGATATACCACCCTCTAAATTCTGCCGGTTCTGCCAGTCTAAAATTCCTAATATAGTTAGTGTGTAGCCACGTGATCCAAAGGAGGTTAGCAGTCAAAAGGTATGTTCCTAAGGAGGATGCCAAAAAGACCACTAAAAAGACATATGAAAAGACTATTGGAGCAGACTACCTTAGAAGACCACTGAGAAGACTACGGCCTTATAAGCGACTGACTATGTAGGTATTCAGGACAGTATATAATGGGCAGGCGGTATACAGGGCGGTATATCTAGGTACAAAGGTTTAGCCCAATATTTCGGAGGTCCCACTGTACACCTACTCAGTCCCAATTAAGAAAAGTGTATATAAACGAAAATAAACAGTAAAGAGCACGGTTAGATAGTTTAATATCCTTATCAAGTTTCTCATATAGGAGTATAAGTAGTGCAAATACAGCTTTCGGCATAGAGGGCTGATCATTTAGCTGACCGCTATCAAGATGTGCCAACCTTCATATGAGATAAATACAATGCTATGATTGTAAGCAGCTCAAAAGAAAAAACACAATCTTATTCCATCAAAATCATCTATTGATACCTGACGGTATAATATGTAGATCATGCCATATCACGTGCATCCCCACACTCCATCTCCGTCACCCGCCAATCCTGCCCTCGAGGTTCCTCATCGACCGAACCAAGCTCAAAATGGCCTCCACCCTCCGTCAAAACCCGTGGCGGGCCTACCAAAGCCTCACCCGGCAACAACTCCGCACATCACGCCTCTCCCGGCATTTCTCTACAACGCCCCTCCGTTCCAATGCAAGCAATAATCCCCTCCGCTCCCGAGCATCCGCAGCGGCGGATCTCCAGCACGCCGCCCAAGCTCAACGGAGAATGATCCTCTCCGCAGCTGGCATAATCACCTGCGCAGCTGGTCTCTACGGTGTCATCAAGCTAGACCTATTCGGCCTCAACGAACTAGACAGCAACAAAGATGACAAGACCACACCCCCGAAGAACGGCGCAATGCGCATGGACGGACCAGTCGGTTTCACCAACGGCGGCCCATCATTAATAACAATCAAAGGCCAAGACCGGCTCGAGCAAGTTCCAACAGGAACAAGCACAATCCCCACCTTCCCAAGCACAATCCGACTCCCCACACCCGAAGCAACAGAAGGCAAACAAACCGGCGACGATCTAGCCCCATCCACAGGCGAAGAATACCAACTCCTAGGCCTGGGAATCCGCACCGTCTCCTTCCTCTCAATCCAAGTCTACGTGGTCGGCCTGTACGTCGCGAAATCCGACATAACCGAGCTACAACGACGTCTGCTACGCACAGCAATCCACCCACCCACTACCGACGACGACGCCGCCATTTCCGGCGCCGGCGCAACAGCCGCTACCTCCCTTGTCTCGCCGGAGCGCCAGCGGCTACGGGAGCTGCTCCTTGACCCGGAGCACGGCGATGCCACCTGGTCGGCTATCATCAAGGATAATGGGATCCGCACTGCTTTCCGCATCGTGCCCACCCGTAACACGGACTTTATGCATCTCCGTGACGGATGGGTGCGTGGTATTACTGCGCGCGCGCAGGCGAAGAAGACGGCGGAGCCGGGCGAGTTCCAGGATGAGAGCTTTGGAAGCTCGATGAATGACTTCAAGGCTGTTTTTGGTTCTGGGAAGGGGAAGTCTGTGCCGAAGGGACAGACGCTTGTTTTGATGCGTGATGCGCACGGCGCTTTGGATGCGCTTTTCCAGCCTGGGGCTGATAAGCCCGTTAAGTGGATGGGGCGTGTTGCTGATGAGCGGATTAGTCGGCTTGTTTGGTTGAATTATCTGGCTGGCAAGAATGTTTCGAGTGAGGGGGCCCGGGCGAGTATTGTCGACGGGTTGATGACGATTGTGGAGAGGCCCCTTGGGACCGTGGTGCAGAAGGTTATCTGATGGATTTTCTTCAACTATGGTTTTGGTTTATTTGGTTGTATTAACATACCTGTACGCTAGTTAGTCGCTGTTGACTTTTTGGCCCCTGTTGGCTCTACGAAATATTCCAGAGCTGTATGGCAATGCTCCACTCAATACGTATCTAACGCTGGAAGATTGGCAAGGCTCTCTTGGTCCCTCCAATCCCAAGCCATGGAATTATTTTCCTACATTAGATATGTCTACAAGACGGAAGGAGGAAGTATAATAGATGTCTAAATGATAGGAGGTAGAGGCTGTACAATAAAAAGCTACCTCCTCGGTTTATATTCAGGACTCTTGGAAGATTCTTGTGTGGCATCACCGCTTAGATGGCACCAGCCTCCTTGAGCAGATCCTTCAAATCCTTCTTGCCCTGGAGGTCGGAGTTGCCGCCGATGTGCTTCTTGTTGATGAAGATGTTGGGCACGGTACGCTGGCTTGAGATCTCGGCAAGAGCGCTCTGGATGGCGGCTCCTTCCTCTGCAATAAAACCCATATTAGCGATTGATTTTAAAAATGAGATAACCCATATATCAAAAAAGTAAACAAAGCATGCTAGATCTACTCTTCTTGAGAAGAATACAAACAACAACGCAAAGAGCAAAAAACTCACCCTCCAGATCCAGCTCGAGAGTAGTATACTTGGCATTCAAGCTGTCAAGCAGCTTCTTGGAAGAGTCACAGTAAGGGCAGTATGACTTGGAGAAAACGACGACAGCGTTGTCGTTAATGAGGGACTGAGCGCGGGTCTTTGCGGCGGACATGGCGGCGGGATTTGGGCCGGCGAAGGAGCCGAAAAGACGGGTGAAGATGGACGAAATGGTGGGCGGTTTGTTGTCGAAAGGGGAAGAGGCAGAGTCTCTTTTTATAGGATATTCAGGGCGGGGTACGGGACGATGAGAGAGGATTGGTGGGCGATTCCGTCAGATTTCGGGGATTGAACGCGGCGATGATGTCAGGTGATATTTGTCAGCTGGGCTGGGCCGAGACTCTTGATGGTTACTTAGGTACGCACATACATCCATGGACAGATGACTATGTAGTATACAGTTCGTAGCTGGAAAGTACAGTTTGGTATATCTTACTAGGCGCCTGATTGGCGAGGTATCTACACGTCTACAAGTACAAGTAACAATTCCGTGCAGGTACGTATGTATTCATCCATTCGACTCGATATCTGATTAGCTCCATAAGCAATTATCTGGCATTCAAAAGGCAAGCAAATCCAGGTACCAGACTGCTTTCACCAATAGGCAGATCAGACCAAAGAAAGAGGAGAAATAGCTAGCAAGAAGGCTTGGGAATATGGGAAAACAGGCTTCAAAGATGTTTCAGAGAGAAATCCAAAGATTGGAGAAAAAAAAGGAAATCATAGGGTCAAGAAAGTCACAGGAAGGTATAGGATAAGAAGGAACGAGGCGCACACCACAAGTTATGTATCTTGCGAGGTTCGAGCCCCTCATTCCCATCCTATCCATCGCGATCTGGAGCGAGCTTTTTAGAATTCCCTCCTACCACTTCGGTAGGAATAACAATGGTCACAGGAGAAGAGAAGAGAGAAATCAAGGAATGGATGCGTGAGAGAGAAAAAAAGAAGAACAGCCATATGCTCTGGTGTTGAAGAATGAAGCCGGATTAAAAAGCAGTCTGAAGCAAATTGAACTCGGGGCGAAAAAAATGCCCTAGATCGCGGGATATAAAGTCACAGAACAGAACCGACAAAACACCATCCCACCGGAGACGCTGGAAATAATAATAAAAAGTAACAGAGAAGGGAATCTAGCAGACGTGCAAATATCAAAGGTATGTTGGGGGAATGGACGGGAGATTGGACAGACGGTTGGAGAGTGGAACTCCATCACATCACAATGCAGCATCCGCAACTCTTCTCTTTCTTCGGTGCCTGCTGCGCAGTGACAACTGGAGGGCTCCAGTTAGGGTTGGGGTTGGGGGTCAGTCCCATTGGGGGTGTGTCCTGCACCTTGGGCATGGTGCTGTAGCCGGTACTTGTATTCGGGCGGGGTGGTTCTGGGCTCTTTGGCGGCTGGGGCGGCAACTCTTCGAGCTGTAGAGACTCAACCGGTTGCTGTTCTGGCTCGGCCTTGGTGGCTGCAGGTGGCGCGTCGGGTGGGTGCACTGCGAGGGGCTCGAAGTTGCGGTCGTATGTGTTCGGTGTCCGGCCTTCCTTCTCCCACTGTTCCTGCATAATCCTTTTGGCGACGGTCGGGATCATCTGCTGGTCTGGTGGAAGGCGAGGATCGGGCTTGTACATGGTTGCCAACCACGGCGGGTCTCCTTCGGGCCGGTTAGCGGCTGTTGGAGGACGAGGTTCACCTCCCCGGGTGGTAGGACGCTGTGTGTTGTTACCGGAGACAGCACGGGATCGTGGAGTGCTCGCCTTCCTGTTCGTGGGTGGAGCAGAGGTCTTTCGATTGGTAGATCCGGTGGGCTTGACTGTCTTCTTGCCCAAAGTGTTTGGTGTACTGCTGAATCCGCGACTGCCCGGTCGGCTTTCTGGTGAAGGAGTCGAACCATCTTGCTCGATGTTGATAGGCTCGCTGGCTCTGCGGCTCCGTGAAGACCGGTCTTCTTCATCTGTGGCAGCACGGCTCCGGGAACTGCGAGAATCGCGGCCCAGGGCGGCAGATATGGGAACCGGACTAGCTGTCGAGACGGGTATTCGGGAGGCGCTTTTTCCAAGGCTTGGGTGGCTGTAGATGCTGGCGGCTGCATCGTCCGCAGCAATTTCCTCTGGTCGGCGGAGATCCCAATGTTCCCGCTCATCGTCCCCTCCATTGTCATT